CAATAATTTGCTAATGCACGTATTATAAATGACAAGCTATACTCAGAATCAATTTTTTGATTTTTTGTCCCCCGCTTGAAAAGTTGGGGATATTAATTTGGGTTTGTCCGTCCGTCCGTCTGTCCGTCTTTCTGTCTGTCTGTAACTTTCGTTTCCACACAATATCTCGAGAACCCTTTGAGCTTTTGCAATGAAATTTTGCATAGCAACTCCCTATAGACTAAAGAAGACTCCTATTGATTTTGAGGTCAAAAGATCAAAAGTAAAGGTCATAAATAAGCAAATTCTGTCTGTTATAACACTTTCGTTTCCACACGATATCTCGAGAACCCTTTGAGCTTTTGCAATGATATTTTACCTAACAACTCCCTGTGGTCTAAGGAAGACCCCTACTGATTTTGAGGTCAAAGTTCAAGGTCGTAAATTTATACATTATGTTTGGATGAAACACTATCATTTTCGGGCGATATTTCAAGAAGATTTTGAGCTTTTGCTATGTAATCTTATACCAAAACTCCCTAGGACCTCTCTTACCCCTCTCAAAGTGCCCCGCCCCGATTGCTTTATCAGTATGTATTGTATTACATGTCGCTATTTTTAGCAAAGGAACATGAGGAGAATTTTTACGTATAAAACAGGTTCTCCGTGGACTTATATATTCTTATTACATCTATTTGAACTGTTTGATAAAGGTTAAATTAGACATCATACATTGTAAAATTTTGACAATTTCGAACGTGAATATATACATGTATGTCACTTCATGTTTTTATACAATTGTTTCCAAATCACAGCGGCTCCGTGGTCTAGTGGTAATGTCTCTCGCAAAGATGGTTGATTTTATGGGAGCCATTTAAACCGCCAGATATTATAGAAATAGACTTTAAAGTCTTTCATAATATTATCTTTACGAATGAAAAATTATTTAAAATTGGGAAGATCGAATCTAAAGTTTGTGCTGTTTGTGAATCAGGTACTGAGGACATATTTCATCTATTTTTAGAATGTAAAGAACTACAAGATTTTAAGAAGAATTTTGTTATTTATCATCTAGAATCGTTCTTGAAAGACTGTGAAAATAGTGTGTATAATACCTTGAATTTTGAAAATATTTTTTTAAACGGTTTTTCAATGAAACTCGAACATGTTAATATTTTCTTTCTGAATTTTTTTCTGTCAATGTGTAGAATTTCAATTTACAAAAGAAGACAAATATACTTACATTTATGGCAAACTTATTGATGTTACAAAATTGTTCAAATGTATGTTGAGACATTATATTTCATATTATTTGTGCATTGATGAATATATAAAAAATATATTTTATAAAAAGTTTTTGAACATAAATCATATTGTGAAAGAAACTGAAGGTATACTTTTATTTATTTTTTAAACAAACTTATGTGATTTTTATTGCCCTCTTTTTAATATTGTTGTAACTTAATTGTTATTAGTGTATGCAAATGAAGATGAATATATCAATAAAAGAGGGAAAAAAAATGTCTCTCGCTACACATGTGAGAGGACCCGGGATCGCGTCTCGGAAGAACCAAATTTTTTTTTCGAAATACTTTTCTTTTTTTTTACTAAACGATAGTATTTAGCATGTGAAATGAAAAAAATTATGAGGTCTGGCTAGTACAAACTCATAATATCATCATTACAGTGTGATAAATATTACATATAAACACACACATAATAAAGAATAATCAATCAAACCTTTATACCCATATTGGCATATTTTATTTGCTTCAGTATACATTTAATAATTCTACAAATTCAGTCAAGGGGATCCGAACCCCCGACCCCCCCCCCCCCGACCCCGAACTGAGCATGGTTTACTTTTTCCTAAGCGGGGGACACAAATTCTCTGAATTAGCTTGTTAATATATGCTAACAAGATCATTGCATCTTAAAACAAAATGTGTTTGTAAAACACTGATGCCCCCGTATGGCAACATAGCAAAGATTAAGCTTTTCTTAAATGCAAATCTAATTAATTGGTACCAAAAGTAGGGTATTCTCACTGTAAAACAATTGTGAGATTTGAAAGTAAGCTAACGTTAAATTTTTTAATACGAGGGCCGTTCAAAAATTACGCGGACTGTGTTATTATTTAATCTTACAGACGTCATATAGTTATAAAATTTCACAGAAATATGTATCTTAAAGATTCCAATAAATTTTGGGCAAAGTTTCTGTATTTAAAAAAAAATCTACTAAAATTATCGGTATGTTGATATCGTTGATGGAGAGGTACGGCGCACGACAAAAAAATTGAAGCAAAAGCATGCAGATTCAAAAATTTAACTCATTGATTTTCTAGAATTCGCGATATTTTTCAACAATTTTCTCAAATGTACCTTTAGATTGTTCTATTATTATGTATTTAGATTTCGGACGTAATGTTTTAATTACTAACAAAAATATACTGATTTTTCTCTGATGCAATCCCCGTGAAAACGACTGTGAAAATGACGTCTCCTGGATTGACGGTGCACCACACTTTTGTTAATAAAATATGTGTAACGCTCGAGATATCGGCAACATAGATACAAAATATGCAAAATAAAACATGTAGTAAACTAGGCTACTCGTGACATTCGCCCACAAATAGCTAATTGAAATTTTAGACAGTTAGACCTCTGTAAAAAGGCTATACGGGAGGACGGGAAGAAGATTATAGACGAAAAGTTAACTTTATCCGGACTGTAAAGAACGTGATTTAGAGTCACCAATATCACACTATATCTCATGAGTAGTTTTTGGTTTTAAAAAAAAAAAAAAAAGAATATTCTTTACTTGTTTAATAGATTTTAAGCTTGACAAGAAATGGTGTTTTGATGTAAAGTAGATAAGGTAACTCAAACTATACAGGTACTAAAGTAAAAATGTTGAGAAAATGAAAGCTCAATCACATATTTTTTTATAATGCTTGTGATGTCGAAGATTTTGCTGCGCCGTGACTTAATGGTATGTCCTGGAAAATCACTCAAAATTAATACCAATTTACAATATTTTAATATGAAATTTTGAAGTACAAAAATCTCCAAGGTCAAGGTCAAATAGTCAATGTAATAAGTATCAAATGAAAGGTCTTGCAACATAAAATACTTATGTAGGGCATGAAAGCCCTAGCCTTAACCGTTCAGAAATTATGGTAAACGTTCAATTTCTTAAAACGTAGGTCAAATTCCAAGGTCAAAGGGTTAAAGTTATTGTTATCAAATGAAAGGTCTTGTCATAAGGATCAAATACGTAAAGTATGAAAGCACTAGCCCTTTCTCTTTAAAAGGTATGGTCAAGGTGTGTTTTTTCAAAGTAGGTAAATCTCAAAGGTCAAGGTCAAAGGGTCAAAGTTCTTGGTATCCAATGAAGGGTCTTCTCAAAAGGATTACATATATGAAGTATGAAAGCCCTATCCCTTACCGTTCAAAAGCTATGGCCAAGGTTAAACTTTTTTCACAAGTACGGAAATCTACAAGGTCAAGGTCAAAGGATCAAGGTTGTTGGTATCCAGTGAAGGTCTTTAAACAAACATTACATATGTGAAGTATAAATGTCCTACTGTCTACTGTTCAAAAGATATGGCCAAAATAAAATTTTAAAATTTTCATGTAAAAGTGGGTCAAACTCCAAGATCAAGGTCAAAAGGTCAAATTTGGTGGTACCCAAAGAAAGGTCTTGTCACAAGAAATACACATATGAAATATGAAAGTCATAGCTCCACTAAATCAAAAGTTATGGGCAAGGTTAAAGTTTTTGCGGACAAACAGAGAGACAGACAGACACGACAAAAACTATTTATTTCCTATCTAGCTTGTAACACGAGCTTTGATTGGTTACAAAGTCGGGTGTAAATATCCGTGCACCCGACTTCAGCCGGGTGTAAATAAAACGTGACGTCACAATGCATACATTCTCTATGATAAATATCTTATCGATAGATTGGGATACACTCTGTATGTTTACAAAGCATTTTTATGGATACAAAGGAAATAAATTCGTTATCCAGGTTCAATCAAGGGTGTACGGGGATTTACCCCGGGTTGTATTCCATACACCCTTCGGCCTGCGGCCTCAGGGTGTATGGAATAAAACCCGGGGTAAATCCCCGTACACCCTTGATTGAACCTGGATAACTAATATTATTTCCTATCTAGCTTGTAACACGAGCTTTGATTGGTTACAAAGTCGGGTGTAAATATCCGTGCACCCGACTTGAGCCGGGTGTAAATAAAACGTGACGTCACAATGCATACATTCTCTATGATAAAAGCTAAAAATCATGTTTACAAAGCATTTTTATGGGTACAAAGGAAATAAATTCGTTATCCAGGTCCAATCAAGGGTGTACGGTTATTTACCCCGGCTTGTATTCCATACACCCTTCGGCCTTCGGCCTCAGGGTGTATGGAATACAACCCTTGGTAAATCCCCGTACACCCTTGATTGAACCTGGATAACTAATAATACCCCCGAAACTTCGTTTACGGGTGCATAATTACAACATTGTTTCTAAATTTCATTAAAAACATGAAATAAAAAAAAACATCTGGATTGATAATAGATAAAATCGAAGAAGACCGGAGAGTTACCTATACATGTAAAGAAATAGCATTTATTTAGATCTAAATTAATCAAATGAATACTAAATGATCAAATTAAATTAATAAATATATAAGGTAGAAGGCTTTTTCTTCTTTGAGATTGGATCTTAAAAGCATGTTGCACTGCAAACAGCGGTGTTTCAGATATCATTGAAGTATTTGGTAAACTGTGGCCAATATAAAGACACATGCTGAGACATATAAAGATTTATTACAAATTAAATTTCTTTAGATCAGGTTTTTAATAACGCGTCTTTTTACATAAATTTTGTTTTACCCTTGAAAAGGAAGGTAAAGTGTTTTTTTCTTCTTATCTAATCAGGTGTTGTATATAAGACGCTGTTGCACGGAGAGAGAAATCCATTCGTTATGATCTACTACATGTAAGACATGCAGATCGCTTTCTTGCTTTTGTATGTTTTTCCTGGAATTTTTGGAATTGAATTTTATCCATTCAGATCTCATGCTGGAGACATATCAGTCAGTAAAAACGATGACGGAAGTTCCCCGGATATTCCCATAGTAACACAGTTCCCATTCTTTAACCATCAACACGACCACTTGATTGTGAGTAATTATTAGTGTTATACTAAGTACAGAAAAGTTATAATAGTCCAGGCGCCTTAGTTCTGCAGTGTGCGTGAAAGTATCTTCCCATGAAACTATAAAAGAATAGAAATATTGTTCTGATTACAAATTACTTGCTAAAAATATTAAATAGAACTCACAACATGGATTTTTGAACAGTCAATATTATATTAATTGAGAGTTTAATAAATTTATTGTCATTAAAAACATCTGAAAATTTTAAAAATCTGCATGCGATTCGCTTATTGAGTTTTTATAGCTATTTTTTACGTCCAGCGTATAACTATAAAAATGAACACGTTTGTTGGTCCTTATAGTTTGAATCCTTATGAAAGAATTTTCACAGAAAATAAGCATTATTTCCTCTGAAAAGCAAGTCCGACAGAATTATACAAATGTGAAAGAACCTCAGACAACTACTGCTGAAATAATGTTTTGAAAGGTATGCATAAATATGTTTATTTCATTTCTGAATACCCACTACTCAACCAGGAAGTATAAATTTAATTATTATTTAATTTTTTAAAAAGTCACAAAATGAAGCTTGAAATTGACATTTTTTATTCAACAATTTTGATTTTATGCATCTCAGTATGATTCAAAGTTCTTTGAAGTCTTAGAAGAAGGATATGGAGATAACGAATAGTATTTAAGAGGCAGTCCACCGAAAAACCAGGCAATGGGTGGCACATCGCATGTCATGGATTTTAATTATTTTTTGCATGTAGACTTATTAAAGTAAGTGTTTACACATGACAACATCAAAAAATTTTATAGTGCTCTTTTAGTCCTAGTTTTGGTAAATGCTTATTTTTAAGTGCAAAAAGGTCAACATGAGTGTATAAAAAAAATACTACCTTTTTATTTTGTTTTATATGTAACAGATACTCCAGAGGTGGATGTGCCCATGAATATTATTTATAGAACATACTTTTATCTTTTATTTTATGAATGAATAAGACTCCAATTTATACTTCTTTAGAAAAACTTATCTGGTCCAAATTTGAGTTTAGCAAGTAAATGTTTAAATTCAGTATCCAATTTTAATTACATTGTAAAACCCAACACAATACATGGACATTTTTGTTTACTTATATTTTTATAAATACAAAGTACAAACTTTTTGGTCATTCAATAAAATCATTGGGATAATGTATGTTGAAAGAAATAAAAGGAGTCAAATTTACTTATTTTTTTTTTTATAGTTTTTAATATATTCGATCAGTGCATACTATTTATGCAAGATATATTACTGTATTCAGCGGCGGCTCACACAAATTGGTCCGACCAAAATAGTCCCATCATGATAAGTAGATAAAACATTATTGTTCATGATAAGAGTAAAGTTGTGTATGTCATACGTTATAAAAATCAAAAATAACGTCAAATTATTATTAGAAAATCACTTTCCCCCCGAAATGCAAATAAAAAATATCAATATTCCTACGCTCGCTCCCTCCTCAGCCTTTTTTTTTTTTTTTACATGTTTGATAACAGAGAATATTTAGGTCATTCTTCGATTCATATCTTTTCACCGATGAATTGATAATACTATATCAACAATTGTATTAAGTACATGTTTATAGTCCATTAATTATCATACAATTTCTTCTTAAAGAAAAAAAAATCATTCTGTGTGTGTTTTATTAAATGACGGAATTTTCCATCCCTGGCCGGATTCTGCTCGTGTGTACACTTGGTAAACTGTAGGGTATGTAAAATGTGTAGCAAAACGAGAACTGGGTCGGAGATTCGGGTTCGTGTTGAAGTCAGCATACCATTTTATACAGAACTTGAATTATGTAAGTAATTTCTGCGACGATTACATTAGCATGGTTAGTATACTTCAGTAATTTTCAAAACAAAAACGTTTTCAGTTTAGAATTTTCCGACCCGGTCCTGATTTTCCTAACCCGGCCATTTTAAACACAAGTTGTTGCAGATGCAAATGATAGAACAAACTATAGTTCAACAGGGATTGTATAATTTTTATTAATCAGAATTCGTATTCATATGATCTAATTAAGAAAAGTTTTGTCTGCCATCGTAACTTCTCGGCAAAACAAAACGTGTTTCTCCGAGCTCGCTGGATGCGTTTGACTGCTCCATCGCACGTGTGTAGACCAAGGCTAATGTTGGTCTTGCGGACACAGGTATGTGTACTGTTTGTTAGGACACTGGGTGACCGTAATGCTACGGACTCACGAAATTTACACCAGTTCCATAATTAGACAGTGCATTTTTTTGTATTAAAGTCATTATAAACACTGTTAAACATACAAACTGTATTAAATCTAAAAGTCGAATATCTTTGGATATGGAGTAACCCATATCTATTCTTGTCACAAATGAAACCGATCCCGACCGGAATTGTATAAAGAAGAAAATACTAAAATAGTAATGTCAAATTTGCCTCTTTTTTTGTAATATGATTAAGAAATTACTTGATTTATTTTTTTAACATATTATATAGGTGGCAGGTGCCTTTAGTTTGATACATTTATTAATTTTGCATTATTTTCGATCGGGATCGGTTTTATTTCAATCGGGATCGGTTTTTACCGTAAATTTAGAAAATTTCCTAAATTTTGCTCTTCATATTAATTTATCAGAAAAAAATGCTTGTCTGTTATTTCTTTTCAGTCAGTTGACTGTTTTTAAATGAGTGTAACGATAGATTCAAATGTATGTATTATTTAAATTACCAATGTCTTTTACTTACATGAAGATCTGATCTGACTGATTTCTTAATAGATACTAGGTATTTTAAAAAAAATATTTGTGCATGCATTATGCAACAACCAGAGCAGACAACTTTCTAGCTTCATTATTCATCTTATTTTCAAGTAAAATTTCTTTTTTATTTGTCTCAGGAATTAAATAGTAAATTCTATCAGTAGAAAATTAAATTTGCCTAAATGCAAGAAATATATTTATGTGTACAGTCTCGACTTTATCTAAGTTTTTTTCTTAACTGTCATCTGTAAAGCCTTTTCCTCTTTTACAAAATTTGATTTTATATAAATAAGAAAATAGTTCTTTCATGTATAGTATAATTATTCAACAGCCGATAAATCGCAAGCGGAAGGGGGGGGGGGGGGGGTGCGGGGTCATTGCTTCATTATTTAAAAAAAAAAATGGTTTCATGAACGTGAAAACATTTAGTATTTGTCAGCATAGTCACAGGTTTATACTCCATATTAAATATAAGCATGTGATCGTTTCAATCGCCGAATAAAAATAAATTTAAAAAAAAAATGTTTAAGTAAACCACCCTCCGTTATAGAGCCAAATTATAGTCGGGTTTTCAACAGTGAATTTAACTCAATAAATATATTTTATAACTTATTTTTCAGTTTTTTTTTTTCATTTTTAATCGTACTGTAGATCGTTTATTTTGATTTGATTGCATGGATGAATGTTTTAGTTTTTATATCTACCAACTTCGTTGAATTAAATGTTGCGTAAATCTAAAACATTCATCATTGATTCCCAATTTTATAAGAAATGTTCATTATAAACACTTCATTAATTATTTTAACGCATATCCTGGTAAATCAATTTTAAAAAAGTAGGTCTCGGACATGTATAAAATTACTTATCAAAACGTCATCTTGCTGAGACTCCGCCCTTGTACTGTGTAAAATACATTTTGATATTAAAATATTATTTAACATTCAGTATAATGCACTCTGAAGAGTAATTAAACAGAAAAAGAGAAATCATTTTGAAAAAAATATTTTTCTTTACATTTTACGTAAAGAATTTACGAACTTCTCTGGAAAACTTGTAACTATTTCATTGTGACGCAAAATTATGACGTCACTGATACATCAATGGAAACGTGGATTTAACGAGGCCCGATCTACTTGAACTGCTCATACGTTTTAACGCAGCGTCGATTCAGGTACGTCACAGTACCCTTGATTGCCGTCACAATTGAACACAATAACGTCACAATTAAAATGACGTCAAATTGCGCTAAAATGCTTCGCTGATCTTGCATACCTGGTAGCTCTATAGACTGTACATGTTGAAAGTTGGTATTTTTATTATTTACATGTTTTTAAAAATATTTTTTAATTGATAAACAACTTTGGAACATGATTTATTTTGAGGTATCAATTTCTTGGTACATATTCATTAATTTTACTGGGTTTTTTTTTCAATTTATGAGTTAGAAAAAATAAACACTACAACCAAAAATAAACGATTTTAGTCTTGAACATGTCGAAGTGTTTATACACATCCTTTTTTATTGAGGACTTAAATATGCATGCTTTAACTTGATTTTAAAAACAATCAGTCCATGAATCATTTAACTGCAACTCCCGAAATATTTTATTATTTCTATATATTACATGATATTAGTAAAATTCGTCATAAGTTGTCTTTTACCCCCCCCCCCCTTTTTTTCCCACGTATAACAACGTCGCGCGTTAAGAAAAAAATAAAGCATGAAGAGAAAATTATTTCAAAATGTAAGAATTATTTATTAATTTTAGAAAATAATACAGTATTACAATCGTTTGTTGAATGTTGATGATATGTGTACCCATGGCGACTTATTTCATCTAGTTGAATAAAATAAATCCAAATTTTGTGTTTTGATATGCCCCCTTTTCACTGCAATAAAGGCTACCTCCAATTTTCTTTTGATTTTTTATAAGAAGATTGAAAATTGCATGATATATGTGAAAAACAAAGCATTTCATCATGTACTTTTTTTTTAATTTTAAATTTCTTTGTTTATTGGAGAGTTTTACTATGTAATTGTGTGTAAAAACACGAAAAAATTGTCCATATCATGACAGTGTCCCCATTTGACTACAATAAAGGCAAGGTAACAAAATTTCATTCTAATTTTTCTTAGCATAATACATACAAAAATATTTCCAAAAATTAAAATTTTTTATCAAGTCGTTTTCGTAATTTTCAACTAGATCGGGCCTCGTTAACCTGAATATTATAGCCAATTT